ACCACCACTACGTCACAACCATCCAGTCATCCTCACAAGCACTTTTCGTCCCGTCCCATCCCATCGCCACCACTGCCACTGCCACAAACACCACCAACAATAACAACAATACAACACCACGGCCACCAACATCACCACCACCACAAACCAGATCTGAACCCACCACACACCACATCTGCACCCTTCCACCCCTGCACTGATCCCTCTATCACACAAAACCACTTTTCTAATTTTTTATTAATTAAATATATTAAGGTCACAATTTCATATAATTTGGTCACAAATTCTATATAATTGGTCACATATTATTAATTTATCACAAATTACAAATTTTACATGTCACAAATTTTACGGTCACAATTCAAAAAATTTATGTCACAATTTGTTCATCGATCACAAATTAGAAATTTTATATGTCACAAATTATTTTACGATCACAAATCAGAAATTTTAATTGGTCACAAATTATTTTACGTTCACAAATCAAAAATTTTATAGGTCACAATTTGTTCATCGATCATAAATCAAAAATTTATGTCACAAATTATTTTACGGTCACAATTCAAAAATTTTATAAATCACAATTTGTTCATTAATTGCAAATAAAAAATTTATATGTCACAATTTATTTATCGGTCACAAATCACAAATATTATAAGTCACAACTTGGTAGACAGTCACAAAATTGTCAAATTATTGATCATAAATTAACAATTTTTTAGGTCACACGTTATTTTTTTGTCACAATTTATTTATTAGTTACAGATTAACCAATTAAATGGTTACAGTTAACCAAATAATTTGTGACCACAGCCAACCTTCACGATGCCACCTCACAACTACCTCAACAACACAATCGCCGCCGCCACACAATCGCCAGATCCCCCACCACAAAAACTGGAATCATACAAAACAACACCACCACACAACAACCACCACACAGCCTAACCCATACTCCATCATCCCGCAGCCCTACTACACTCCATGCGGTGCCACCACCATCATCAACACCAACGACACCTCCACCACCACTACGTCACAACCATCCAGTCATCCTCACAAGCACTTTTCGTCCCGTCCCATCCCATCGCCACCACTGCCACTGCCACAAACACCACCAACAATAACAACAATACAACACCACGGCCACCAACATCACCACCACCACAAACCAGATCTGAACCCACCACACACCACATCTGCACCCTTCCACCCCTGCACTGATCGGAGATAGTGTGTTTTGGTGAAAATCAAGCACAATTTTCCAAACACAAGACCATATTGTAACCTGTAGAAAAGAACCGTGCACCTATGAGCTTTTTGTTGCAATTGATTTTGGGATCAAAATGTCATTGACCACATAGAAGTGTCATTGTGGTGTTGGCATCAAATGGAACATCTGACTGAACTTGAGCACGTGATGTTCACCGGCGAGTAGGAGATTACCTGAGACGAAAACAAACATACCGTCGACGACGCCCAGCTCGATTCGTATCAACAATAATAGATAGAGAAGTGAGGTGGTGTCGGCTGTGTGGTAGTGGTGACGATAGACAGGGAGTGGAGAGAAAATGGGGAGATGAAATAATTAGGGTTTTGGTTGGGATATTTAGGATTTTGCAATTATGATTTAGAGAGAAAAGATAGATTAAATAAATGAATTAATATCTGATTTTTGTATAAATAAAGTTTATATCTGAAATTTGAAATTCAAACTTTAAATTTCTGATATTTTGTAATTTCCACTTTTAACATAGGTAAAATCACCTAGGGAAAACCTATTAAAATAAAAACATTTCTTGATATACTACAAATAAATTTAGTATATAGTTTTTCTATAATTTCTCAAGTACATGAGAAATACATAACTACCAACATTTAAAAATACACTTTCAAACTTGACAAACATGTGATTTTTAATTTTTTTTTTCCAAAAATTAGATGGTATTAATTAATTAAGTAATTAAATAAATCAATGTCATAATAACATATAATTTATGGCCACAATTACATACTAGTCACAATCACAAAAGCATAAAATATGGATCACAAATTGTAAATTTAGCCAAAAATAATACATTTTTGGAGATCACAACTTATTTATAGGTTACAAAATTATTAAATTAATTGGGCACAACTTATTTATTGATCATAAACTACTAAATTAACTATCCTTATTTTTCGATCACAACTTATTTATCTATCACAAATTATCATATTAATTGATCATAATTACCCAATTAGCTAGTCGAAAATTACCATTCATCCATCCCACCCCACTCCACTCCACCATCAGCATCACCTAAAATGCCATGTTGTCACCTCACGACGATCACAATCACCTCCTCCAATGCGCACACACACCACCACCACCACCTGCACCTCCTCCGGTCCACAAACTCCATGATCACCAGCGTTGCCCATAGCGTCGCTGCTACCGCAACCACAACTACATCAATATCCAAAACCACCACCACCACCACCATAAATCCATAACAAAATCGTCGAATCTAGCATCGGACCACCGTCTTCTCCACCATCGTCAATCGATTCCTTCACATTGCTACCTTCAAAACTCACCATCAAAATTGTTCCTCGTTCCACAGCCGCCAATCGAGCCTATATTATTGATCACCACCTCTACCATACCATAACCACTACCTCCACCTACACCTCCACTCAAATCTCGAAATTGCTCGTTGATACTCATGGATCTTGTTGAAGAATAGTACACCATTGCCGCATGAGGGGAGGCCGGTGGCATCAAGAGATAGATATAGCAAAATCAGCGAGATCACTTTGGGACAGGGCACGAACAATTTGTGGATGGTGCCGATATGTGTTGGAGAAGGTGTGGGTCGACCAGAGGTAGAGGAGGCAACGATGACGACGGTTGCTGTAGGTTCTGGAGGATAAAATGACGGTGAAAGAGATGGAGAGGAATGGTAAAAGCTAGCTTTTGTGGCTTTGGAGGTTTTCGGCTTTGCAGGTAAAGTATTGGGGTGAGTAGGTGAAGCGGTGGGGACACATAGGTAGGGGTGGAACGGGCACTTGATTTTTGAAAGATAAAATTTTGTACATGATTATTGAAATAGGAAGATAAAAAATAGGTTTCAGTGTAATTTCTCCTTATTAATTTGTCATGTGAGCCTAAATATGTAATTAATTGTGTATAAGATTATCTTAAAGTTGAGTCCAATTAAAGTGATCTAATAAAGAATTAAATTGTTGGGT